CAGTGTGCTATGTGTCACCCAGAGATAGTCTGTCAGTGTGCTATGTGCCACCCAGAGATAGTCTGTCAGTGTGCTATGTGTCACCCAGGGATAGTCTGTCAGTGTGCTATGTGTCACCCAGAGATAGTCTGTCAGTGTGCTATGTGCCACCCAGAGATAGTCTGTCAGTGTGCTATGTGTCACCCAGGGATAGTCTGTCAGTGTGCTATGTGTCACCCAGAGATAGTCTGTCAGTGTGCTATGTGTCACTCAGAGATAGTCAGTCAGTGTCAGTGTGTCATCATAGATAGTCTGCCACCAGTGTCAGTGTGCTATGTGTCACCCATCAGTGTGCTATGTGTCCCCCATAAGTGTGCTATGTGTCCCCCATCAGTGTGCTATACCATGTGTCCCTCCCCAGTTCTGGCTTGCTGTACAGACTCGGTGCTCACCGTTCGCCTGACGGACGACTTTGGCGGAGATTTTTTTGCCCCGGCCGTTGTACAATCGCACCCAACAGACGCCACCACCCCTCCCACCCCGGCTCACAGCGCTTTCACAGATGGCAGCCCCCCTGTTGGTCATGAGCACACAACGAAACTGGTCCCGGGCTTTGGAGACACCTCGTCGACTTCCAATAGTGAAGAGGAAACGTCGGCTCGAAACTTTGGACCCACTGATAGAACTTCAGTCGACGGTTGGGATTTTACATCGACTTCAGCCGGTGATGGGACCACCCCACCTACTGAGGCGGCCCCCACCACTTTCGACCCATTCTTCAACTTATTTCCTAACACTAACGTCTTCGGCTTTCCTTTCTCTGCTGGCACCGGTAACCCTTCCACCATCAACCCAAACACCGACTCCACTACAGCTGGTTCAGAGTTCCCAACTCCACCTGAGGTCATGTCCTCCCCATTTGCCCCCTCCCCAGGTGACTCAAACAACACCACAACCGCCCCAAACACAAACATCACCACAACCGTCCCAAACCCAAACACCACAACCGCCCCAAACTCAAACATCACCACAACCGTCCCAAACCCAAACACCACAACCGCCCCAAACACAAACACCACAACCGTCCCAAACACAAACATCACCACAACCGCCCCAAACACCACTACAACAACAGCTAATCCAGAGATTCCAACTGCACCTGAGGTCATGCACAAGCCATTTGCCCCCACCCGAGGTGACCCAAACATCACCACAACCGCCCCAAACACAAACATCACCACAACCGTCGCAAACACAAACCCAAACACCACCACCAACCCTAAGACAAACCCAGTCAGCTCAGAGATCCCCCCAGGCCCCCCTGAGATGGACCCTTTGGGACATACTCCTCCTGCCCCCACCCTCTCCACACCTACCATAACCGTAGACCTCGGTGATTTTTTAAAATCTTCCACGGCCACGAGCAACAGCAACAACACCAGTGACGACAACTCCACCACAACCACCAGCAACGACGACAACAGCATCATCAACAACAACAACAGCAACATCCTGATGATGGCACCAGCCCCGGGAGGACACTCCCCGCTATCCCCTGGCCCGACCCACGACCCGACAACCCCCAGCCTCCCGCCAACAACTGTTGTGCCCGGCCCCACCCCTGCCAAGTCCGCAGCCAGCACACCTCACAGTTCCCTCCTCCTGAGGCCCACTCTAGCCGTTACTTTCACCAGCTTCCTCATCCTCTCTATGTGTAGTTCGCTGAAAGCCCATCTTACCTAAGGAAGTCGATGGTGTGGTAGCAAAAATGAAAAACCGCAACCCCACACAACAACAAAACAATACAACCAAAATCCCATACAATAATGAAACAACAAAACAATACAACCAAAATCCCATACAATAATGAAACAACAAAACAATACAACCAAAATCCCATACAATAATGAAACAACA